ACAGGACGCGGGCGCCTGCCGCGGCCAAGAAAGCGGCCAAGAGCCCCAAGAAAGCGGCTAAAGCTGCCAAGCCCAAAAAGGCGGCGGCGGCGGCAGCGAAGAGCCCGGCCAAGGCGAAGGCGGTGAAGCCCAAAGCAGCCAAGCCCAAGGCGGCCAAGCCGAAAGCGGCCAAGGCGAAGAAGGCGGCGCCCAAGAAGAAGTAAACCCCCTCTTGCTCCGCACTTACACCCAACGGCTCTTTTAAGAGCCACCCAAGCTTTCTTAAAAGGGCTGAAGCGCTGTGGCTGCCGACCCTTTTGGGGACGGAGACAACGGGGAGAGAACTGAGGGAGGCAGTTCCCGCCCGTGTTTTAGGGGATCGGCAGTCTGCGGGCGGGAGCGCTTTTGTTTCGGTGCGGGGACCGGCAGAGGAGGGTCGGAGCAGCAAAGTTCAGGGCTGCTTTTAAACCTCCCCTCCGCTCACCGGGGAGAGCGAAGCAGCGCGCTGGTGGCTTTGAAAAGCCGGCACGGCGCAGGGATTGGCTGCGGCTTCGGAAGGGCCGAGCTCCTTCCCGCCAGCCCCGCCCCCGGACCGGGGTAGGGAAACGGCGCGGAGTCGGGGGGCGTCTGCGCGGGGCTGCGTCCTCGCAGCTGGGGCGGATGTTTCACGGTCAAGCCTCCGCCGAACTTTTCAAACGGCGCGGGGGCTTTCTGCTACTTGTTTTTAGTGAAGCTCAGGCTCTTTTTCCGAGTTTGTTGGTGGCTCTGAAAAGAGCCTTTGGGTTTCTCTGGGAAAGACTTCCCGGGCGTTGTTCTTCGGCGTTCACTTGGCTTTAGCCTTGTGGCTGTCGGTCTTCTTGGGCAGCAGCACGGCCTGGATGTTGGGCAGCACGCCGCCCTGCGCGATGGTCACCTTGCCCAGCAGCTTGTTGAGCTCCTCCCGGCCCGCGACGAGCGCGACTTGGCCTTGGCCCGCGCCTTCCCGCCCTGCTTCCCGCGGCCCGACATCGCAGCGACTCAGCACCTGGGAGCAGGAGCTATAGAGAAATGAAAGCAACTCGCCCTTATATCCCTTCTCAGCGAAAGGAGCGAATTTCGATAGGCCGAGAAGGTGACACTGCGAAAACAGCCAATGGGAACGCGGATCGAATTCTAACCAATGGCAATGAACTACGGAGAGCTCTGACTGTAAAAACCTCCCTCAGCCAATAAAAACGAAGGCTAGACGAAACCTTAATTTGCATGCGCTCCCTATAAAAGGCGTGCGCTCACGCTGATTTTCCGTCCGTGACCGTAAGACTTTTAGCGAGAGCGTAGAGAAAGGTTGATCAAAATGCCCGAGCCGGCCAAGTCCGCCCCCGCGCCCAAGAAGGGCTCCAAGAAAGCGGTGACCAAGACGCAGAAGAAGGGCGCACAGAAGCGCAAGAAGAGCCGCAAGGAGAGCTACTCGATCTACGTGTACAAGGTGCTGAAGCAGGTGCACCCCGACACAGGCATCTCGTCCAAGGCCATGGGCATCATGAACTCCTTCGTCAACGACATCTTCGAGCGCATCGCCGGCGAGGCCTCGCGCCTGGCGCACTACAACAAGCGCTCCACCATCACCTCGCGGGAGATCCAGACGGCCGTGCGGCTCCTGCTGCCCGGCGAGCTGGCCAAGCACGCCGTCTCCGAGGGCACCAAGGCCGTCACCAAGTACACCAGCTCCAAGTAGAGCGTCTCGGATC